GTCCACTGTACTAGTACGGGGCCAAATTTCTTTAAAAATGACTGGGAGAGAATTCTCCATTTTGATTACATTTTCTGATACACGTTACTGTTAATCTAATGGATATTATCAATAGTGTTGATGAGAGAACAGGTATAATGGTTGGTCTCTTCCTAATGTGCATCGGATTCTTAATAACAATGCCACTTGGGAATGAACTGCCTAAAATAGGAATGATAGGTAAGGCAATATCATTAATAATTCATTGATACTCTTAATAGATATAGACACATTAAATTCATCATATGATATAACACAGAACAGCTCCACTGTGGCTCTTGGCTGTAGATACCCAAAGTTAAAATGGTGCACTCACGTCCCTAGGATGTACTTATCCCAGTACATAATAGGAGCCATTATATTCACACTGGGCTATCCTGCAGCTTTTGTGTATTGCTTCACACTTTTCTCTAAACTCCTTGGTCCTAAACCACAAGTATGTGATATTGCTTGTACAGCCTGTCTGGGGGTGTGTGTGTGTGTGTAAGTAATGTAATACCTGAGGACTGAGATATCTGCTTGAGGTGAAGCTGAGGGCAGATATCAAGGGACTCAGGTATTACCCACCTCCAGATACACTGGTTACTGCACATGTCTATTTCTTCTTTTACTTTTACTTGATATTGTGAACCTATCTCCACAGGGTATAATGATGGGGGTAATAACAGCTTCTGGTAGTCTTGCTAGATGTGTTGGTCCTCTCTTTGTTACTTTTGTGTATGATGCCACTGGCCCTCAGATTACACTAGCAACTGTTGATGGGATACTAGGACTGGCTATCATTCTATTAGCTGTCAGTTACTATAGACTAGTGCCTTTGGGTCATAAGAGAGGGTTCAGTAAAAGATTGTAATGCTAATTCAATGTGTGATGAAACTGAATGTTATAAATTATAATATTTTATGTTAAAGTGAGATGAACATTATTATTGAAATGAATACAGCTGTGTGAAGTCATTGCTATTATTAAATGTTTAACATTTTATGCTCAATTGTAACCGATCCTTCCGTCATAGTGCCAACAGATTCCATATCAATGCCTAAATATGGCCAATAGGTAGTAAGACTATTATTGTGTAGCATGCCAATACACACATTCCTTTCCTAATAAAGAGATGAATACTTTAAAAGCTGCTAGTTTTATGACATAAGGACAATGCGTGATTATGTGACCGCTCCAGTGTACAATAGCACTACATGTGGGGCACATCATTCCAGCACTAATGACTGCTAATGTGATAGACAGTCCTACTACGTGATACTGCGTGACATTTCTGTCAAAGGCTTGGCTATTATCTAATTGGGTTATCTGGTTAAGGCTCGACGATTCTTTGAAAGTTACTTCATCCTATACGTCACATTGTTCCAGCATATAATAGTGTAGTCTTCTCTTGATTGCAAAGCTATCTCATTTGGAAATGTTTTTGGCTACTTTCTATCTTCTTTCTGCCTTCATTGCAGCAGTGGCGGATCTAAGGGTGGGCCTGGCTGGGCCAGGCCCACCCAAAAATTTTGTGCAATAATTTAAAATTAACTTTTTAATGTAAACTACTATGTAAACTGTGAAGCATGACTATAAAAACAATTTGTAAACCACAAAGGAGCTCATTTTAACTGGCTAAATCTTCAAAATTTTGACTTTCATTGCAGGATTTGTTGGCCACACCCACTAATTAGCCCACCTACATCATCAGTGCCCACCCAAAAATTCAATCCTAGATCCGCCACTGCATTGCAGTCTGCAGTTGCAGGAATCATCATAAACGTCATTATGTACTGCCAAGTGTTCCTAGAGAAGGTTCTGGTTCATATGATTACTGCTACAATAGAAGTAACGCTACTTGTCACACTCTATCGTATCATAGCCAGTTACTAATGGATCATCATTATCATGATAATAAAGGTAGTGAAATGTCTTTTATATTGCTACCTGGAGTCCATGTTTTGAATTCGAGTATTTTATTTCGTAATCTTAACAGCATTTCTTTTATTGGTCACAAAGGACAGA